CCATAGCCCCCCCCCTCCTCCTCCTCCTCCTCCTCCTCCTCACGTACCCCTCTCCCTTCTAGCACTGATGATGTTACCTAGTTGGGTCATGAAACGTCTGCAAAAAAACAGCCAAGCTCAGAGAGCACCAAGGACCTCACAGCCCCCCCTCCTCCTCCTCCTCTCGTACCCTTCTCCCCTCTAGCACTGATAATGTTACCTAGTCGGGTAATGAAACGTCTGGAAGAAAACAGCCAAGCTCAGACAGCACCAAGGACCCCACAGTTCAACCCTGAACTATAAATATTCTCCTCTATCAACACAATAGGCAGAACATTTATCATAAGCGGGAATCTGCAGTACTTACAGAAGTCACTTGGCGGATTATGCGTAAGGTTTCTGTAGAATTCAGTTCGGTGAGCTTTCTTTAAACCTGTGCATAGCCCAAAATCAGAGAGTTTTACATGCCCCTACAGAAAGAAAACATTACTCATATGATTAATCCAGATGACTGATGTAAATACGTACTTCTGGAGCAATCCCCCGATTTACATCTAACCGTCCACCAGCAGAACTGTGCCAAACAAAGCACAAAACCGCGCTTGAGCAATGGACACGCAAATGGATTTAAAGCAAATTTTTTAGCACTATTTTATTTCTAAAATTTATATAGCCACCCATTTATTAGCCACAGTAACTCCGGGCGGCTTACAATGCTAAAAGATAAACGCGTATAAAGTGTAATAAATAGAAATACAGTGTTATAAACATCAACCTAGCTAACAATACGGGGAGGGAGGGAGGATGGTGAGAAGGGGAGGGGGTGGGATCTGTTCTTAATCTATCAACCCCCCCACCCCCCCACGGTGGAGCCCCTCCGTTGGTGCCAACTGGCAGAGCCAGGTCTTTAAGTTCTTATGCAGGTGTCTTCAAACTTGGCCCTTTTATGACTTGTGGACTTCAACTCCCAGAATGCCTCAGCCAGGCATGCCTGGCTGAGGCATTCTGGGAGTTGAAGTCCACAAGTCATAAAAGGGCCAAGTTTGAAGACCCCTGCTCTTATGGATGGTGAGGAGGGTTGGAGCTGACCTCACATATTGATATCTCGTTTTGGGGAGGGTGTCGTTTGAAGGGTGATTTCTACAATCAGCCCTTCAGTGGACAGGTTTTGGATGGGCAGGTTCAACCTTAGACAAGAAGATTTCTGTATTCATAAGAGGAGGGGGGGATGTCAAAACCAACCGCAGCCCAGTCATTTCAGCCATGGTGTTGAGGATGTCACAAGTACCTACGAGAAGAGTGTTTTCTCAATTCTCAGCAATGTTAAGCTGGGTGTACTTCAACTCCCAGAATTCAACTCCCAGGAGTATGGACATCAACTCCCAGACTTCAACTCCCAGAAGTGCAGACTTCAACTCCCAGAAGTGTGGACGTCAACTCCCAGACTTCAACTCCCAGAAGTATGGACTTCAACTCGCAGAATTCAACTCCTAGAAGTATGGACTTCAACTCCCAAACTTCAACTCCCAGAAGTGTGGACTTCAACTCCCAGACTTCAACTCCCAGAAGTGTTGACTTCAACTCCCAGAAGTGTAGACTTCAAGTGTGGTTCTCCTCCTTCCTCACCGACCGTACGCAGTCTGTATTGGCAGGGGGACAGAGGTCGACCCCAAGGCCCCTAACTTGTGGGGTCCCACAGGGGTCGGTCCTCTCTCCGCTTCTGTTCAATATTTATGTGAAGCCGCTGGGGGAGATCATTCGTGGCTTTGGGGTGGATTTCCATCAGTACGCTGATGATAGTTGTACATATCCACCCCGGGCCACCCCAATGATGCCCTTGACGTGATGACCCGTTGCCTGGAGGCCGTGAGGGTCTGGATGGGGAGTAACAGACTCAGGCTCAACCCGTCCAAGACCGAGTGGCTGTGGTTACCAGCGCCTCGGCATAGTCAGCTGATTCCATCGCTGACTATAGGGGGCGAAACTCTGGCTCCCTCGGATCGGGTACGCAACTTGGGTGTCCTCCTGGATCCACGGCTGACATTGGATGACCAGTTGGCGGCCGTGACCAGGGGGGCGTTTTATCAGGTTTGCCTGATTCACCAGTTGCGACCTTTTCTGGACCGGGACGCCCTACGCACAGTCACTCATGCCCTTGTCACCTCCCGCCTGGACTACTGCAATGCTCTCTACATGGGGCTCCCCTTGAGGAGCACCCGGAGGCTCCAGCTAGTCCAAAATGC